TTTGGTTGATAAGCTATAAAATAATTTTTTGTTGTGTAATTGTCATTTTTACCCTTATATGATATAAAAATGATTATTTTGTCATTTTTTTCAGTTTTAATTTGAAAAAAATTATTTCATTAATAAAAATTAATATAATTAGTATTACAAAAATTATTATTTCCATTTTTTCATTATAAATTAATTATTATAAAATTATTTTTTTTTTCATTATAAATTAATTAGTGTCAATTAATAGCTTATTTTCATTTTTTCATTATAAATTACTATTTTTATTTTTTCATTATAAATTAATTAGTATAAAATTATTTCATTTTTTCAATTAATATAAAATTTATTTCATTCGTGGCTAAAATGCTTAATTATTATTATTATTTTGATTAAAAAAACACTAGAAAACTCCCCAAAAAAAAGATAAAAAGAAAAAAGAAAAAGAAGCTGAAAACCCTAGCTCCGGCAGCACAACGGCGACGAACCGGCGCTAGGGTTTGAAATCGCCTTTCACGGCCGATCCCGATGGAGGATGGGGGACAACGACGAAGGCACACAGAGAGAGAGAGACCAACGTAAATCGTGACGACGGCATTGGTTCAGATCGCGATGGCGACGAACCAATGCCGAAGAGAGAGAGAGAAAGAGAGACAGATAGAGCTTCGCGATCGCGATGGTGACGAACCAAGGCTTCGTGATGAACTAACACCAAAGAAAGAGAGACAGCGAGAGAACAGAGTGACGAACCAACGCCAGAGAGAGAGAGAAAGAGAGAGAGAGAGAAAGAGAAGCTCGAAATCTTGGCCAGAAATCGTCGCCGGAAATCGCCTCACGCTCTCTCTCTCTCTCTCTCTCTCTCAAGACATGAACAGTGTTTGATTTTAAAGTTTATATATTGGTATTTTGGTAATTTTTCAATTTTTGAATGGGCATTTAAGTCATTTTGCCCTTCCACATTCAACTGCACGCCTAAGCTTAAAAAAGGCATCTCTAAAGCAACTTATAACTTTTAACTCAAAATCAATTAATTTAAGTTATAATCTATCTCTTATAAGTTCAACCAAACGCTTCAAAATGGCTTATTTTAAGCCAAAAGTTGATTTAAGCTGAAATTAAGTACTACCAAATACCACCTTTATTCAATTAAAAAACTTATTTTGTCTTCTTTTTTTTTGTGGCAATTTTAACCAAAAAGTCTTTGGCTTTCTTATGCCAAAAGAGCTCTTAGCCACATATCAGTCAACACGTGGCACCAATTCAAAGAATATGTATTATTATTGGAGCAATACTAGTAAACATTCAGTAATGGACATGTTAAAATTATTTGTTAAAGTGTGTTACATGATAAAAAGTGATAAAAGTAGGGTTTCACAATGTGTGTTAAGGTATGCTAAGAATTTGTTAATTTTATAGAGTGAGTGATGATATAATGAATGTGTTAAAGTGTGTGTTAAGAAGTATGTTAAAGAACATATATATATATATATATATATATAAATAGGTTGCAGAAGCTAACAAGGAAGTGAGCCGGACGTCCAGCCAATCAACCGATCAGCAGTAAAAAAAATTTCTTTTTCTTAAAGAGTTCGGACGTCCGGGGGGACGACCTACTAGACGTTCAAGGGATGACCAGCTAGACATCCAGCTGGATGACCCCACGATACTTCCCCACGTCCCTTTTTTCTCTCTCTCTCTCTCTCTCTCTCTCTCTCTCTTTCTCTGTGGCTAAAACGCTAGCCACAGTTAACAAATAAGTTAACAGTTGACACTAACACAACCCATTAACACACTCCTTAACACTTTCACTGTGAAAACAAAAGTTACTGTGGTTGGCTAAATTTTTAGCCACTGACACTAGCACATCCACTAACACATCCATTGTGGATGCTCTAATGCTTCATGTATAAGAAAAATAAAAGTGATATGCTAACAAATCTTACAAATTTATTTAATTTTCATTTGGCCTTGGCTTTTTTAGTTAGTTTTTTAGTATTAGAATTTTTTTAGTCTAGCTTTTTTAGTCTCGTTTGGTTTGATTTTTTTGAATTTTTTTGACTTTTATAAAAGAAAAAGTGTAATAATTATTGTTTTGATGTGATATTTTGTCTTATCAATTTATGTAGTTAATTTTGTCTTTTTATGTTTTTTTAGTCAAAAATCTAAAACCAAACGAAGTTTTATTTATTTACTAAAAAAATGAGTAATGTTGTTCAAATAAATTTTTAAAATTTGAAATGATAGTTGAGTTTTTCTTATTACTTATTAATTTTAGAATAGATAAGTTTATCAGGTGCTTTTCGAGTTCTAGCCATTAACAGATACAAATATTTATTATAAAAGAATAATTGCATTTTTCAAAATCAAATTTTTACTTTCACCTTATTATTAATTTCTTACATTTTAGTTGTAATATTAGATTTTCACATTTCAATATTTTACCGTGGTTCAAAATTTGAGTTAAACTTAGAAGCATGATGAATCAAAATAAAATTTAAATAAAAATAAAAAATGAATAATAAAGCTTGACTTCCCCCAACCAGCAACATGTGTTTGCAGGGAAACTACTTTCTATTCAAAGTTTATTCTGAAAAATAGATTAAAAGTTTTTTTAATTTTTTAATTTGAAAAAACGTATAAAAAAAATAAAGAGGTAATGTAACTCAAAAAAATCAATGAATTGACTTTTAATCCAATTGTCAAAATAGGCCTAAATTGCAATAATGCGTGACAAAAGGCTTGTTTGAAGTATAAGTTAAAGTTTGAAATTTTAAATATTATAATTAAATAAATAAACTAAAATAAAATTAGGGTGAAAGTTAAAGGAGTTCAAATTGTAACTTATTCAAGGAAAAATTTAAATGCAGTGCAAAGTTTAAAAAATAATTATAAATAAGTGGTAAATATTAATAATTAAAATTAGGGACAATTATAATAAATAAATAAATAAAAACTTAGAGTTTGTCTAATAAAATAAACCTTAAGTTTTTAATTGTCAATTTAAATCCTAATATTTTTTTATTTATTTTTAATCTAAATCATTGATATATTTTTGTTAAGTAAAACAGATAAAAAAATATATATATTTTAATTATTAAATTCATTGTAGATATACATAAAATATCTAAAATATCATTTTTTTTTATTGAATTTAATGACTAAAATTCACATTTTTAGATAATTTTACTTAATAGAAATAGACAAATAATTCAGATTCGAAACAAATAAAAATTCACAATTTAAATTGATAAAATTAAAATTTTATTTTGTTATAAAGATCAAATTTAATTTTTTTCGGTAATTTCTCCTTAAAAATATAATTTTTTTCACAAACTGTAATAACTTTATAAAATTACCATTTAGTGGTAATTTGGCCTTTATTCAATTATATACACTATAATTTTATTTATTTTAATCATTTTTGGAAGTATTAATGTATTATCCCAATAATATTGCAATTAATAAAGAGAATAAAGCTCACAAATTTATATTAAATAATTAAAAAATATAAAAGAAAACATGAAAAATTGTGACTAGCAAAGAGCACGACCGAAGTCTCTTAGACCAATTAATAATTTTTCTGAAGGAAGGGTTACCGTACGCATCCACGTCGGTTGCTTAACTGTACAAAACTCACCTGCGTGACTTTTTTCCCTCTTTGCTATCGTGCGCCCAGTGCTAACCACACCCCCTACCTCAACGACACTCACTCATCAGCCAGTTTTAAAAAAAGACTGTACGTATGGGAGTGAGAATTGGTAAATTAAATGCATATTTTGAAATTTATTTAAAATATAAGTTTTTTTTGTGATTCAAAACATTATAAATATTTTTTTGTTAGAATTTTTTATTTGATAAAATTAACTAAAAAAATAAAAACTTTAACTGTTCTTTTATATAATAATAAAATTATTTGAATTATTAATTAAAATAAAATTTAATATTATTAAAAATTATTAATTAATTTGATAATTTATGACGTAATTTTCAAAATTATAAAAAATAATTTATATTTTAAACAAATCTCAGTGTGTTTGTAGTTTATGGTCAAATTGCCAAAACAAGGCACTACATAAAAATAAATAAAGAATAAATTATATTGATCATTCTTTAGGTTTAATAAGAATAATGTGGACACATAAAAATTCAATATAATTATACCAACCCACCAAAATGGATTCTAAACACTTTCTTGTGAACTTACCCGCTCAAGAAAGTCAAACCAAAACCATACAAAGTCAAGGAATTATGATAAATTTAAATGGACAAAATTTTACAAAATAAGTAACAAATAATTTTTTCATGCATTATTTCACTACAAGAATTTATACATTTTGCGATCACTTTTGCCGATCAAAAAAATTTTAGTCGCAAAAAAATGACATTTGGCGACCAAATATTAATTAGTCGCGAATGATCATTATTTTTGGCGACCAAATATTATTGGTCGCAGAAGGTTATATTTTGGCGACCAAAAAATATGTTGGTCGCAGAAAGTGGTATACTTTTGCCAACCAACTACAAATTTGGTCGCGGAAGGTCACATATTTTTTGGCGACCAAAAATTTGGTCGCGAAAAATTTATTTTCAGCAACCAAAAAAAAGTAGTCGCCAAATTACTACTTTTAGCGACTAATATTTTAGTCGCCGTTGATTGAGATTCGGCGACTAAAACAATTTGTCGGCGAAATAACCTGTTTTTGCGACTAATTTGAGAGTTTGGTCGCCAAAAGTTTGGGGGAAAATTTGAAAGATGGAGGGGATATATATATATATATATTTTTCAATTTTTCCTTACGCCTCACTACCTCAGGCCCCTTTTCTTTAGATTTTGCCCTAATTTCTTGGCAGACCCAACAAACAAACCCAACAACACACACGCAGAGACTCTTTCTCTCTCTCTCTCTCTCTGTCTCTTTACCCTACCATCCGACGATCTACACAGTGAACCCAACACGCACGGGGTGGCTAAAGAAACAGAGCCTTAAGATTTAGTCACAATCATGCATGGGGTTAACCTTTTGTTCCAGCGAAAGAGAGTGCGCGTTTGCTTGATTCAGAGAGAGAGAGAGGATAATCCGGCCACTGTTGAGGCCGGTGGGAAGCAAACGGAGCTGTAGACGCCGGAATACAGGGAGAGATTGAATGTGGTTGGTTTACTCTTTATTTATTTATTTCGGATTGAAGTTATAATGATCTGTATATTTGTGTTTTGTGTATATCTTTTGTTGTTGGTATTTGGGAATTTAGAGCTCGAATTGGGTATTCCGAGGACTAACACTGATTGTCCTCAATTGCTTTCTCTCTTTATATATATATATATATGATTTGGGATTTCTTTAAAGTACTCATTTTTATGACTAAATTTGTTTCATCTTCATCTGGGTACTGTGTAATTATAAGCAATAGTTTAACCCTCTTTTTCTTTTTGTTGATTAATTTTGTTTTTGTTTTTGTTTTTGTTTTTTCTTTTTCTCATCGATTTGATGCAATAGGGAGATTTGGAAAAGGCATAAAAAGAAGGTTTATTTTACAATTGGAGTTTTAGGAAGTGGGTATCTTCTATACAAGCTTTATGATGCTCACAAACGCAGGCTCTCTGACCTGGAGAGAGAACTTGCCCAAGAGAGGGAAAATGATGAACTCATTAAAGCCCAGTTAAGAACAAAAGTCATGCTCTCATTTTATTTTATTGGGTATTGCTGTGAATTCTGTCTTTAAGTGGAAATGTATTCATTTTCTGATTTATGTGGTTTTCCATTGATATTGATAGCATGCAAGCGCATTTTGGGAACATTCAAAGAATAGCGGATACGGCAACCTTGCCTCATTCGATGCTCTATTTGAGTAGTCGGGTGGCAGAAGAGCTAGACCTTCTGCACTTGACAGAGCAGCTAATTAGAGGGAAGGGTCAATCCAACTCTCTGTCGTCTTCTGAGAAACTTGAGCTATGGGAGAAACTCAAAATTTTAAGTATGAATTGTTAATGTGATGCTTTCTTTAAATCTTAGAACTGTTAAGTCACTAGAATTGAGCTTACCTTGTGCTGACCTTTTGTTTTATTGGTTTGTGCAGGTTTCACAAGAATGGTGTTGTCCCTTTGGGCAATGACAATGCTTAGCTTATATATTAGAGTTCAAGTCAACATATTGGGCAGACTTTTATATATTGACACAGCACGTGATCTTGGAAGTTCTCATCTGCTTGTAAGATCCTACTCTTTTTCTCCTGTTTATTACTGAGAAAACAAACATGTACAACCCAAATTTTCTCATTTATACTTTTGTTGCTATATTAATCTTTCTCTAGTATTCCATATTTCTAAGAGATGCCTTATTAGGGTAAGTTTGAACCACTGATTAATAAGCCTTTCCCTTCTATAGTTTACATATGAAAGTAGTCCTTTAACGGCCAGTTGTTCTTTAAATTACATTCCGCTTGTTCTACGTTGTACGGAGATGAATACATTCAATATTTATGTGGTCAAAGATCAACATTATCCTAAACTACAATGGAGAAGTTTAACTAATTTAGAAAAGCAAATAATGCAGAGCTTTCGGGGATTTCCTGCACCTGTTTATTAGCTATTCCAGGGAGGCAGAGACTTAAATTCAGTTTCAAAATTATAGTCTGTTGATTGGGTACATGTCTGTTGAATAGAGTAGCATTTTTGAGGTGTTGCCTTAGAATTTGGATGCTATATTCTTCAGAATTCCATCTTTTATCAGTGCTTTTGCTTCCAAGTTACATGCTTGTTTATGTGCTGTATTGTGTTTGGTTTTGCTTGTACCCTTGGTTTTGTTTTATTGGTGTACCAAACAGGAGTAAGCAATATTTTGTTTGCTTTTGATTCTCTAACATGACACTCTTTAAAAAATTAATTGGTTGGGGTAGAGAGCTTAAAAGCTCAAGGAAAAGCTGTTTTGCCTTCACTTTGCTTGTAAACTTTGTAGTCCTATCCAATAGTTTACTATAACACATATTGCTATGGTATTCTGTTTTGTTTTTTTTTTTGGAAATATTTCTAAGAGATGACTTATCAATGCTCCTGGTGTTATTTACTTGTAAAAATTAGTTAAGATTGATGAAATTTGTTCTTGGAAGCCTTGGATGAAATTAGATAAAACAGAAAACAATAATGTAATAGCATAATTTTATGTTCCTACAATTCTCCCATCTCATCTTTTTGACATTCTTCTGTTGGCCCTGATTGTTTGTAGCTTATATGAATTCATTCCTTTTTTATTATTGTTTTTACAGGATGAGGCTGATCTAATTGACAGAAATGACCAGCAGCAGTTTCTTTCCATCATTTGCAGTTTTGTTTACGTACTATCATTTTCTTTCTGTTCCAACAGTTGAGAAATATTAGTTTTAGCTAAATGGGTGGTCATTATTTGAGACGGCAGTGCTTCCAATACAAACAATAACAATTAGCAAATCGATTCTTGGTTTGGCATGGATTGATTAGCTAATTGATCCCATTAATAGGGTTCGTACTCAATTATTGATATGGCATGAACTGAGAGGAAACCGGTGCAGAAGATAACCCATTTTTATTATTAAAATATTTTAGGGTAGATGTATTCTCTCAAATCCAATGGTCCAAAATGAGGTGCATACATACATCCTCTAACGGGTGTGTATGAACTCTTAGACAAAAAATTTGGGGATACTTCCAATCCTAAACATCAGATGACCAATCCTAGTTTGTATCTTCTTTCTATTGATCTTTTAGCCCTTTTTTCTGGTTTATATGAAAGTTGGTGTATTTATCAATCAGCTCTTGGATAAGACATTTGATGAGTTTGCTAGCCTTTGGATGAATATGAAAGTTGAACATGAACATAGTGGTCATGAAATGGAAATGGGTTATGAATTGATTTATGGAAATTAAACATTTATCAATTGCTAATGTCTTAGTTATTACTCATACTGTGTTTAGCATATTTCGACCCGGCGTTGGCTCACCCTATATGGGACATTATTTTCAGGTACAGGTAGTATGCCACCTCCAAGGACATAGCTTGGATGATGATGAGAGTTGAAGACTCTTTTTATTTATTTTGTTTGTATTACATGTACATCAAGCCAAGGGCTTATTTTGTATAGAGTTAGTACTCTTCTTTTGTGTAACCAGGTGTTGACTTGGAAAGCTGTAAGCCCATAGGGCATTTGCTTTTGTTGTTAACATGTAATACAGTTGTAAGAATTACTCTGATGAATAGAAATGGTTGGTTTCTTCTATATCAATGCATGTCTAAAGTGATGGGTTTTATGTATTTTTTGAGGGCGTTACAACTTGGTATCAGAGCGTACCGGGTTCGAATACTTTGGGTACGTGGGAAGTGATTAGTATCACAATGGGTTTGTCTCGCTTGTTAGAGTTATATGTGACATTATGTGTTTATTTGATAACATGTTTATGTGACTACTTGGGTATGGGATTTAGTTTCTAGGATGTTGATTGGATCCTTGGGTTTCTGTGAGTCTTGTTGGAAAAGCACTTGATCAATGCTGTTTCTAACCGGAACTCTAGTAACGCCTCGGGATTATCATTATCCAGATATGAAAGTTGTAAGTGCTTATGTGTTTTATGTGCTTACGTGGAGTGAATTACAGTTGTCCATGTATTAGGACGCGAGTGTTTAGTTTTGGCACATTTATGAATGTGCTAACGCTCTTCGTTACCTTTATTAGGATGTCAGGACGAGGACGTGGTAGACGTGGCAGACGTGGTAGGCAGGAGATGCCTTTACCGGATGATATTCCGGCAGAATGATTTTTATTTGACCTTCAGTGTTTTCATCAATGTATAATTGATTACACGACCAAAGCGATTTAATTTTCCATCCTGTTATTGTTATTGCTGTTAGTTTTTTTCACTGTCAAGGCACGAACAGGACAAATCACAGCTCATTTATATGACAATGCTTATTGAATTTTGTTCACAAATAGTATATAATTTTTTATCATCATGCAGGTGGATTCTGTAGTTTACCTTGTTGACGCGTACGACAAAGAGAGATTTGCAGAGGCCAAAAAGGAGCTGGATGCCCTACATAAAAAACAACAACAATACTGAACAATACTCAACCTTGTTAACACCAGATGTTCTTTTTTTTTTAAATTGATGCTAATTATGTTAAATTTTTGTTGGAATGAATTGTTTTTTATTTTTTGGGGTTTAGAATAAGGTTTTGTGAATTGTTCCTTGTTTTTGGAATCAATGTTGCTGCTGCTGAGTTATGTGTTGAAACTTGGATATAGAAAATTTTATAATAAGACCTGTTTTGATAATGAATTCGTCCTATTTTGATTATGAATTCGCTAAATATTACAGGTGTATTATTTTCCTTCTTTGGCGACCAATTTATTAGTCGCGACAAATAAATTATTTTTTTTCGCGAAAAATGACAATTGCCGACCAAGAGTTTTGGTCGCAAAAAATACATCTATTGCCGACCAAAAATTTTGTTGGTCGTGGAAACTCACTTTTGTCGACCAGCAGTTTTGGTCGCGAAAAGTAACAATTGATGACCAAAATTTTTGGTTGCGAACTGTCACAATTGGCGACCAAATTTTTTGGTCGCGAAATGTGTCAATTGGCGACTAAGAAATTTGGTCGGCAAAAGGTGACTTTTCACAACCAAAGTGTTTTAGCGACAAAATGAATTAGTAGCGGTAATTAAATATTTAGCGACCAAAAATTTAGTCGGCAAATTCAACTTTTGCCGACCAATGAAAATTTTGGTCGCGAATTACTTTTGCCGACCCTCAATTGACGACCAAACTAGCGACCAAAAAAATTGGTCGCGAATAACTTTTGCCGACCAAAAATAGACTTTTAACGACCAATTTTTTTGTTACTAAAAGTGTTAATTGTTGTAGTGTTTTGTCTAAAACATACCATTCATATTTTGTTTTGTTTCATATAAAAGTGAATGGTTATACAATTGCCATTGGAGAAGCTCCTTATGGACTTTAAAAATTTAAGCCTTCAGTGGATTTTTCACTAAATTTGTCTATTTTAATCTTTAGCATACCACTATCATGTTATTTTAATCAAAGATTTTTAAAACAAATTTTATGTGATTAGAATTTTATTTTCCAAAATTACTGATCAATAATTACTAATAGGAAAGCATTACACAAATCCTTAGTAGGAACTTTGTAACTCTTAATTCTGAAATATGTTTCATATCCTCAAATTAAAGTTGATGACATGTTGATCATATGACACATATTGAAAAAAAAAAATTATGAAAGGAAAATAAAGGCATACATGTAACAAAAGGTTAAATATGAAGTACAAACATAATCAGCTTGCTTGGTTCTCATTTTCTAAAAATAATTTTCAAAAAATTATACTTTCTTATTTTTTGTATTTTTTTGTTTTTACTGAATTTTTTTAATATTTTATGAGAATTTTTTACTTTTTAGACACACCTAACATAAATGCACCTAAAAAGTAAAAAAATTGTAAAAAAAATCTTTTAAAAATTCACTAAATATCAAAAATAAAAAAAATACAAAAATTCAGTACATTTTTTATATTTTTATGTATTTCTTAATTTTTTAAAATATTTTTTCATAATTTTTTTACTTTTTAGATACATCTAAGTAAGGTGCATCTAAAAAGTAAAAAAAATGTTTAAAATTTTAAAAATATTTACTAAAAACAAAAAAACACGAAAATCAAAAAATTTAATTTTCAAAAAACTTAATACAGAAAATTCAAACCAAACACACTTTCCATTAACTTAGTTTAAAAATACATAAATATCAAATAAATATGTAACATTTCCATTACACCGGTACAAAATTGGTGTAGTCGAGAGCCTAACTCTCCAATTACAGTCTCTCTCCACAACCACCTATGGTCAGTAATGGAATTGTCTAGAGCTGATTCTGATTAAAAAAAAAAATTACAAAAGACGTAGAAAAAAAAATCATAAATAACACTCGGTACAAACATTACCCATGCAATAACGTTGCACGAGATAAATATGAAGCATCGATGAACTTAATAACATAATTATTTATAAATAGAAACCTAGTACAAATTTTTGTTCAAGAAAGAGGAGACCTATGGGGAGCTCCTTTTCTTCTGCTGCTGAGGGAGAGAACAATCCCAGGGAGGAATCCACCACTCCCTTTCTTCTTCCTCTTCTCCTCGGGATCATGTGAAATTCCAGAATTGCCCATGGAATTGCTGGAGCATGCCGAGCCTTTGAATTGTAATGGGTCCTCTAGGATGGAGTTGGGGGTAATTTGCCCGTCATCGTCGACCACTAGATCCGAGCCATCCATCTGGAGCCCCTCTAGCTGAGAGAAGGCGAAATCGGATTCGTCAAATCGGTATAAGATTCTTGATAATTCTTCCCCTTGATACACCATATGATCAACCTATATTCCATTGCATTTTTTTTCTTAGTAACGTTCATATGGTATACTTCAATAATTAAGGTTAAAACGAAGATAGCGTTTGTTTGGAAGGATTCAACTATGGGATTGAATTAATAGTTCATCTGGATTAATAGTCCGTTGTTTAATTCAAAATTTTTGTACCAAACTATGAATTCCAAATCTATAGAATTATTCTATCTCATTGGGGATGGGACACAATTAAGTAGTGAAATTACATTTTTGACCCTCTATTATTTAATTTTTTTTAAAAAATAAAATTTATTTATTAAATTATTTATACTTTATTAAATTATTTATTTTAATAATCATATGGTATTAATTGTACTTAGTAAAGTAAAATAAAATTTGAAAATCTCAACTACAAATTAAAATAAATTTATGTAATTTTTATTAATATTCTATTTATTTAATTTTTTAAAAGTTCCAGTAAAAAAATTAAATGAAATTTATAATTCAGATATAATATTCCTATTATTTAGTAAATATTTCAAAAGGACAATAATTTTTTGAGCATTTATAATATCCCAAACAAATATAGGATTTAATAAAATAGTTTAATCCAGACATCTAATCTTAAGACTAAACAAACACAGAATACAAATTTAGTCCAACCAAATAATCCGAGGACAATATATCCCAGGACTAATAATCTGGTGAATTACAATCCCCTTATCTAGTCCGTTCAACCAAATATGTCCTGGCCTCGTTTGGGAATAGACTTTTTTAGTAACTTTTTAGTTTTTTAACTAAAATATGATGTAAAGAAAACTAACATGTTTTGAATGATTTTTGATTTTTTACGAAAAGATGTGCAAAAAATAGAGAGAAAAGAAATTTTTTGACTTTTTAATATAAATTATGGACTTTTTAATTTTTTTTAAAATTTTTTAACAAAAAAAATTACTTATCAAACGGGGCCTAAGGGGGTGTGATTTAGTCCAACCAAATAATCCGAGGACAATATATCCCAGGACTAATAATCTGGTAAATTACAATCCCCTTATCTAGTCCGTTCAACCAAATATGTCCTGGCCTCGTTTGGGAATAGACTTTTTTAGTAACTTTTTAGTTTTTTAACTAAAATATGATGTAAAAAAACTAACATGTTTTGAATGATTTTTTATTTTTTACGAAAAGATGTGCAAAAAATAGAGAGAAAAGAAATTTTTTGACTTTTTGATATAAATTATTGACTTTTTGATTTTTTTAAAATTTTTTAACAAAAAAAATTACTTATCAAACGGGGCCTAAGGGGGTGTGTGAGAGAGAGAGACTCGGGGTGTGTGCTACTATGTAAAGAAAATATATTTAGAATTAGAACTTAGCCGGTGCAGTTCGAGCACGTGAGCTTCGATTTTGATGGTTTGATTGCTCATTTTATTAAGTAAATTGATTTGATAAAATCACTTATATGATTTTATTATATTTGTCGTTAATTAATTTTAAAATTAAATCATTTATTTTTTTAAAAAAAATTAAATATAATAAAATGTTGTGAGTAAGAGAGGGAAATGGACCTTGCATGAAAGAGAACAGAAGTGGAAAGGATCCTGAAGGATTCTGTCACAATTGAAGCAAAAGTTGGCAGAGCCTTTGCAAGACCTAGACTGTGCCCTCTGCTTCAAGAATATCACTTTTGCACTGTTTATTGTATAGGGCTGCCAAACAAGGAATAACATTAAAATTAACCAAGAATAATGTTTATATACACCAATTAGTCCACTAACTAGTATATTAATTGATAATGTGACAAAATTTAAGAGATTTTTTATATTTATAATTTGTATAATAAGTAAGGTCAATAATAATATCATAACTAATATTAATACATTAGTTAGTACACTAATTGGTGTTGTAGCACCACCAATTAAACAAATAGAATAATAATAAAAGAACAGAAAATCAAAAGAGCCAAAAAGTAAAAAATCACAAAAAAAAGAAAAAAAAAATTGTCATTCCAAAACAAAAAAACCAAACAAACAAAAAAATTTCAGACTAATAAAGTCAAAAAAGTTAAAAAACCAACTAAAAAGGTCAATGCCAAACGATCCCTTACTATTTTAAACTATTTTTAAGACAATTTCATTTTGGTTTGCTAAACAAATGTCACTCATTATATTATGAAAAAAGTTATAGACCTCAAAAAATTTATTAAATTTTTTATCAAATATTAATATGGGACCCACACTATACAAGAGACACTTGACAAAAAATTTAATTTTAAAATTTCTAACATTACTCTTGTATTATTGAAATGAGTTTTGTTTTCAAGTTACAGTAACTATCATATTATTGAAGTATGTTATGTTTTCAACTCTTTAAACTTTATTATTACACGATGTATCAATTAATAAATTTTGTTTTTAAATTGAATAATGTTATATGTATTAATTAATGTACACATTAATATATTAACAGATTATGTAATATTATTTGTATAATTTTAAATATTTATAACTTGTATAATAAATATAATCAACAATAATATTATAATATTGATTAATATAGTAATATGTATACTAATTAATTCATATATCATCACCGTTTTAAATTTATTAATTTATATAACATTAAAAAATATATACCTGAACATAGGAACAGTCAATGAGCTTCTCGAGGTCGTCCAATCTAACAACATCATGGTAGACATATCGTCTCACCTGTCACATGGCATCAAAATTTCTTACCATAAAGCTTTCACTAGCATTTTTGATGATCCGAATAAAATAGAAAAAATTATAATTCAATCAATTTGACCAAATATATTTAAATACTATGAAAGTGTGAACTTTTTCCTGTGTAAAAAAAAAAAATTTACACTCGCAAAAGATTGTCATCTTCTGGTAATTATTGTTTGTTTTCATTTTTCAGAAAATACTTTTCAAAAAATATATTTTCTTATTTTTTGTTTTTTTTTGTTTTTACTGAATTTTTACTCAATCCAGAAAACTCAAACCAAACACACTGAATAATTTGTGAATGCTCTAAATTCAGTTAATTAGTCTCTTTATTATGATTTTAATTGATGTGGGCTGGTTTAAGATTTACTTATTTATTGATTTTTTATGAAAAAAATAAAAAAATAATAGGATAACTTATAATAAATAAAAGAATAAATATACTTATTTAGTACATTGCATAAAAGACATTAACTACTATCCAGTTTCAAAAAATGTATACAATAATTTTTTTAAGTTTAACATAACTATTGTAGTTCCTATACAGATACAAGTCTTAATTAAATAAAAAATACATGTCACAATCCTTTTTCATCTATATTTCTAGCAGTATGATTGATGGTGTAATGTAAGTACAAATCTTCTAAAAATTTAAATTTTAAGTAATATAATTATGTCAAATTTATGAATTTGTTATATTTTTTGTAATTTATATATTTGTGATTGGTTAGGTAAGGTGAATTCTTCAGCTTTTGCAACAACCTCACAACTGTGGTGAAAAGTTAGGCCAGGCAACCAACTTTCCATCAGTGTTTTTCTTTTTAACAATTAAAAAAATATATAAAAACTCAACATAGAAGAATAAAAATAAAAAATATGAAATTGAGAGCTTGTAAAGTAAAAACAAAACACAACTGGGTCAAACTTTCCCTTTCTTGAAAGCAACAGGAAAGGGACCATTGCAGAGAAAATGGATAAAAAGGAAATCTTCGAAATATAGGGAACAAAACAAAACTAATAAATATGGAATCAAAGTCCAAAGAATGATATGATTTTCCCCTTTTAAATTTCCCTTTAAGAATGAACAACAAAATAACAAAAGCATGATAGAAAATTTATGTTAAGCTAGCTAAGCCTGTTTAAACTGTTCTTGAATTTTAAATTTGAATTGAAATTTATAGAATTAAAAGAAAAAATAAACAAATATGAAAAAAATTATTGTTTATATTTTATTTTTACACTTTTTTTTTTTTTTTTTTACATTTCTTTTTCCAACATAAATCTCTTCCAAAATTCATAATCCAAAAAGAGCATGAGGAAATCATAAATTGGAATTAAAAAATTAAAAATAGAGAAATCATACAGACAATATGGGAAATTCTAGTATACACCTCCATGAAATGGTGTATCATATGCACCTTTAATTATGTCATTTTCTTCTTTAATTATAACTCATAAGATCTTTTGTTACTTCTCATACAGTATTTAGTTATAATTTTTTTTTATGTTATTTTTTTCTTTAATTATAAGGTACATAATATAAGTGTACAGTTATGTGAGCAAATTGATGTTGAAAATTTATAGAAGAGTGAATTCACTCAAGAAAAACAACAACTTCAAGAAGAGATTTAACAAAATTAGCCAAACAAGAGTGTTGTATAAAGAGAATATAAAGTTTCCAAGAAAATCCAAACAAAGTGAAGTTTCCACATAGAACCACAAATTTATTTGAGAGGAGAAATTTTGTTGAAAAGACCATGCATGCCAAACACTCGAGAATTCATGAAAATTACTGGGAATTTTTGCAAAATTCTTGAGAATCAATGCATAATTTCACTTATCCACACTAGGGACTTTAAAAAGAGGTACCAAACAACAAATTTTACCATTTGAAGCATAAAACCCACAAAATTCAAACTTAATCAGTGTTGGTGAGGTCAAAAAACACCATGAAAAGGTCAAAAGAAAAAGAAAAAAACATTTTAAAAAAGAAACGAAGATGGTTTGAATTGAATTTGTAACACAGACACACACACACACACACACATATATATATATATATACTGAAATTGTAACATGTGAAGCATAAAACCCACAAAATTCAAAGTTACCCAGTAAAGAATTAGTGTTGTTGAGGTCAAAAAACATCTGATGATTCCCTCTCTCTCTCTCTCAAAAAAAAAAAAAAAAAGAAAAAAAACAGAATAAACCTCAAGTATATAAATTGTACCATTTGAAAGCATAACCCACAAAATTCAAAGTTACCCAGTAAAGAATCAGTGTTGGTGAACAAAAAGGGATTGAATTGAATTTGCATACAATTAATAAGCTAAAATAATTATAATGAGTGACTATATATATAGATATATACCTGAAGCAGAGGATGAGAGCGATGAGAGGGAAGGCAGTGAGGGCAAAAGCTTTGACAACAATCCAAGCAAAAGATGTTCTTCTCGTTCTTCCTCCGGTTCTCATGGACCCCACATGCTGCAAAGAATGTCTCCTCCGCCATTAAACCTTCTAGCCATGCAGGTTTCATCACCACCACCACCACCACCTCTCACTCTCTCTCTCTCTGTCTCTCTAAAAAAATTCAGTAGAAAACAGAGTAACCTCTCTCAATTTTTCTGAATATATAGAAGAGCTAGCTTTAGCTTAAAAAGAGTGTCCTTTTTCTGAATATATAGAGAAAAATCCAGACAATACAAAATACCCGTATGTGTATATATCATATATGTGTATGTGATGAGAGAGAAAGAGTAGGTAGAGAGAGAGAGAGACGATTGTCGTTTGGGTGTGGTGCCGAATCCGGGGACAGAGGAGTAGTGGTGGTGTTTATGGCGGGAAGACTGCCCACCTCTATGTGTACCTTTTTCTCTTTTTTTTTCCTGCAAAATACAAGACACCTTTTTTGGACACTTGATTTGGGCACCCCATATAAATAGAAGTTATTGGTTGGTGGAGGATGTGACAGTATTTTAATTGATGAGATGAATGAGATTTATGATTTTATGTTGAAGTAATTAAAAAATATAAAAAACAAAATAATTAGTAATCAGTGAGAAATACTATCATATAATATTTCAGGACCTATCAATAATTTTTCTCCCATTACACACTTTTATATTATCATTTTCTTTTAGACTAAGGGTTCTTTGGAATAATTTAAATAAATGTACTTTTTGATTTTTTATGAAATATAGATTAGGTATAGGTTGAGTTTAAAGTGATGTGGTAGAAAGGTGATATGACTTGAATAAGATGATGTGACTTAAATAGGATAGTTACTTTTTAATTTTTTAACTTTTTTAAAATACTCCAAATAAGGCTTAAATTGCCGCTACTTTATGGGTTGGTTTAAGAAGTGAGTTGGTTTTTTAATTTTTTAGTTATTTTAGTATGAGGTTAAAAAGTCTCATTTGAGAATGATTTTTTTATTTTTTTGACTTTTTGTGAGAGAAAAAATGTAATGATTATAGATTTGATATAATATTTATCTTGTTGAGTTAAAAAATTTATTTTATTTTTTTGTGATTAAAATAGTCCCAAACTAAGGCCAAGTTTGGCATAATTGAAAAAAGACAAAAAGTCAAAAAGTCACTATCCTATTTAAGTCATATCATCTTATTTAAGTCACATCACCTCTCTAACCCATCACTTCAAACCCAACCCAAACCCAACCTAAATCTAACCCATCTTCCCAAATGGAGCCTATAGCTCCTTCATATTTAGGAGAAATTATAAATATTGTGTTCATTTGTCATGGTGGTTTAGAACTAAAATAGTTATAAGTTAACAAAATAGATTAAAAAGTCAATAAAATAAAATATCACATTAAAATCATAATTATTTTATAAAAAAACTCATCCCATATGAGACTTTATAACCTCATGTTAAAATAGTCAAAAAATCACCCCACATCCCAAACGAATCCATTAAAAGAAAGATTTTACTATGATAGCAAATTAAGGTCTCGTTTGAAAATGATTTATAATCTAAATTATTAATTTTTTAATCTATTTAGATCACATTATTTTTATTTTTCTTCATAATAAATAAAAAAAAATTAACTTATTTTGCATTTTCCAAAACAATCCTAAATCTTTTACTTGTGGTTTAGTTCAAGTGATCAGAAGAGGGGTATTTAGGTCTTGTTACGTGAAGCTTAGTTTTAAGTCAATGCAGTGATGTCAATTGTTACAATAATCTAATTCTATCTTATTTTGAGAAGTGCTTTTTTTTACTCATTATTTATTTTTATTTTTTTTAAAGAAATATATAAAAAAGTAAAGAGATAATTTAATTTAAATAAGTAAATAAGCTAATAAATTGATTTTTTTTTGCCTTTCCAAAAAAAAAAAAGACATAACATACTAGCATTTTATCTTGCGGCAAAAACCAAAAAAATCTTTAAGTTTTTAAAATGGTGAAATAGTTGGCAGGTTGTGATAGAAGATGGTTGTAGTAAAAGAGTGGGGAAAAACTATGGTGCGCACCTTTTAAAGAGTGTGTATTATATGTATTTTATAATTATAGAAAGAAATAATATAATTTTATATTTTTTTAGTCATAACTATAAAAAAAAGTTATAACCAAACTCAAAAAAATCATAATCAAATATCTTAAAATAATGTTATAATTAAGAAGAAAATAATATAATTAAGAGCATATATAATATGAGATTGTATAATTAAATTCTCCTATGTATATATGTATTGTATAAACTAGAAGGGTGAGTTAAGGGCTGGTGGTTGTCATTCCATAGAGGTGAGCGAGAGAGCAGAGAAACAAAGGGAGGGGTATGGAGATGGTAAAAGTAATTTGAAAACAAATGACCATATTGATAATTTAAAATTTAAAATTTAATTTTTCAAGAGAATTATACTCCTGTGTTTATGTATTAATTTTTATTTTTATTTTTTGTAACTTCTTCTTGCTTTTATTATGTAACTGGAGATGTATTGATTATCTTATCAAACATTGTATATATTGTGATTTATAGTTTCACAATAAAATTTTGAAGAAGAAGAAAGAAAAGAAAAGAAGAAAAAATCAAACTCACTGTATCCAAAGATCAACCTCTTAGGGTATGTTTGTTTGGACGGACTGGATAAGGGGGATTGTAACCCATCGGACTGTTAGTCCCGGAACTATTTGGTTTGATTGGATTTGTATCCTATGTTTGTTTAATCATGGGATTAGATGTCTGGATTGGACTATTTTTAGTAAATCCAATGTTTGATTAGACGGACTGAATAAGGATAAATGTTCAAAAGACTATTTTACCCTTATAATATATAATTTATAATTTAACAACACTAAAAAAATTTAATTTATAAGGTCACAATTTTTAATTTATTATTTTCAATTAAATTAAATTTATATTTTATATTTTATATTTTTATTTAATATATAATTTTAAATAACGACAATAAAAAAAATAATTTTATTTAATATAAAAAATAATTTAATTTAATATGTAAATTTAATTTTTTAACAACACTAAAAAAATTTAATTTATAAGGCCATAATTTATAATTTATTATTTTTAATTTAATTTAATTTATAATTTAAATTTTTTATTTAATATATAGTTTTAAATTAACAACACTAAAAAAATAATTTATAAATGTTCAAAAGACTATTTTATCATTTTCTAATTGTTCACTAAGTAATAGAATGGAGGGTAAAATGGACATTTCACAAAATAATCCCATGGGATACCAATCCCACACCCCCCATGGGATAGGATAGTCCCATGTTTGTGGGACTAATAGTCCGAAGGGACTATTAATCCGGAGTAAAAATTTTCAAACAAACAATGGACTATTAGTCCGGTGGGACTAAGGCCTCGTTTGGGGACTGATTATTTTACCCAAAAAGCCAACTAAAACTAGTTACATCACCTCTCTACTTTTCTGCACATATTTTCGTAAAAAGTCAAAAAATTACTAAAATAGCCTGTTCCCAAATGAGGCCTAATAATCCAATCCCACCCTCTTATCCCTCAAAACAAACATGCTCTTAGACCTTTGATTTCGGACTCTTTTTTTTTTATAATTTCAGTAAAATTGTTTTAGTGAAAGGAAGATGATAACGTGATGCATATAAATCTATTTTTTATTTATTTTAATTAACAAATTAAATATAAAATTATAATAAAAGTAAGAAAGATAATTGTTTTTATTTTTTTGTCTTAGTTGGTCTTAAAAAATAAAACTAAAAATAAAAATTATCCTTGACTATTTTTTTAAAAATAACTTTTGATAGCCTTTAAAATTGGGCATAGGAGTGCCCATACCCGAAACTTGCCAATTATATTTTTCTCCAAAATCAAATATATTTTGAAATATTTAGAGCAAAGTTTGTCTCTTGTAGGTTCAGTACGTGGCCCGACCTCGGTATACTAGGAGGAAAATGTCCTTTATTCAAATTTATTATATGTGTTGGTCTATTTTTATTATTATTAATTATTTTTATCTTACTTGAGCTCATCGAATTACTAAAATAATTGTATTAGATGAGTATGAAATGACTCGAAACACCGAATTGTAGTTTTGTTGTCTGGTAATTTTGGAAGGAGTGTCACTTGTATAAAATGGATTTTTTTTTTAAAAGAATTTTAAAAGATAAATTACAAATATACTTTTTGAGTTTTATTTAAATTATAAATTATTTTATGTGATTTTAGAAATTATATTATGTCTCTTAAAGTTTTTAATTTCATAATAAAAAAGTTATTTTATTAATAAATCATTAAGTTAATTAACATTTTTTAATAATGTTAAAATTTTATTTCAATTAATAATTCAGATAATTTTATTATTGTATAGGTGAACAATTAAAAATTTTACTTTTTCAATTAATTCTGTTAAATAAAAAATTCTAATAGGGAGGTATTTGTAATTTTTTAAACCACATGGGGCAATTCATATTTTAAGCAAATCTCAGGGAGTATATTTGTAATTTACCAAATTTTAAAAGATTGTAAATATGAAATGAAAATGAATATAATAAAAAAATTTATATTTTTTAAAAATATTATTTACATGTACATCAAGATTATACATTAGTTAGATCCATGTATGTGATATATATCTATCATCAGTGGCGGAACCAGAATTTTGACTTAGGAGAGGTAACATTGAGTTAAGGTTATAGCGATCTACCACAATACAAATAATTTTGAGTTTTAATTGAGGGTAAAACAATTTAAAATGAACATAGTTTCAAATTTAAATTTTTTAAGTTATGCTCAAGTTAGTTAATTTTTTTGCTTTATTTTTTTTATTTTTTATTTTTAATTGTTTATTTATTATTAATTTGATTTGCTATTTCAATTGTGCACGTGATGATTATTATAATTTAAAATGCGTTCACATACTATTGGTAAAAATGAGAATGACAAAATTACACCCCCCTCCCCCCACCCAAAAAAAAAGTGGAAGAGAAAGACATCAAAGAAAAGAGAGAAATAATATAGAATTTAAAAGAAAATATTTTAGCAAAATTAAATATTTAGAGTGACAAATTATAATTATAGGAATTTGTTGGAAAAATGGTTTAAATTCTGATGTTTCGGAAACTTTATGCTAATTATTATATAGGACCCACAAGTCATTTGTTGAGGGTTCGAGTAGCAATGTATTCGTTCTATATGGTGAACAAGATTATATAATTAGTGAGTCAAAACCATTTATAGGTGAATAGAAAATTGACTTCTAAGTAAGGTTTATGAACATTAGACATGTTTGTGGAAATTCTCAAAATGGTGTTGCATCATTTTCTACACAGGAAAATTATGAACAATTTGGAGAATATATATAAGGTCCTAGATAAGTTGGGTTT